CACGACACCTTTAGGGTTTATATCTTGTTGCACTTAATGTAAGGAGAGCCACGACACCTTTAGGGTTTATATCTTGTTGCACTTGATGTAAGAAGAGCCACGATATCTTGTTGCACTTGATGTAAGAAGAGCCACGACACCTTTAGGTTTATATCTGGTTGCACTTGATGTAAGAAGAGCCACGACACCTTTAGGGTTTATATCTTGTTGCACTTGATGTAAGAAGAGCCACGACACCTTTAGGGTTTATATCTTGTTGCACTTGATGTAAGAAGAGCCACGACACCTTTAGGGTTTATATCTTGTTGCACTTGATGTAAGAAGAGCCACGACACCTTTAGGGTTTATATCTTGTTGCACTTAATGTAAGGAGAGCCACGACACCTTTAGGGTTTATATCTTGTTGCACTTGCTGTAAGAAGAGCCACGACACCTTTAGGGATTATATCTTGTTGCACTTGATGTAAGAAGAGCCACGACACCTTTAGGGTTTATATGTTGTTGAACTTGATGTAAGAAGAGCCACGACACCTTTAGGGTTTATATCTTGTTGCACTTGATGTAAGAAGAGCCACGACACCTTTAGGGTTTATATCTTGTTGCACTTGATGTAAGAAGAGCCACGACACCTTTAGGGTTTATATCTTGTTGCACTTGATGTAAGAAGAGCCACGACACCTTTAGGGTTTATATCTTGTTGCACTTGATGTAAGGAGAGCCACGACACCTTTAGGGTTTATATCTTGTTGCACTTGATGTAAGAAGAGCCACGACACCTTTAGGGTTTATATCTTGTTGCACTTATGTAAGGAGAGCCACGACACCTTTAGGGTTTATATCTTGTTGCACTTGATGTAAGAAGAGCCACGACACCTTTAGGGTTTATACCTTGTTGCACTTGATGTAAGAAGAGCCACGACACCTTTAGGGTTTATATCTTGTTGCACTTGATGTAAGAAGAGCCACGACACCTTTAGGGTTTATATCTTGTTGCACTTGATGTAAGAAGAGCCACGACACCTTTAGGGTTTATATCTTGTTGCACTTGATGTAAGAAGAGCCACGACACCTTTAGGGTTTATATCTGTTGGCACTTAATGTCAGGAGAGCCACGACACCTTTAGGGTTTATATCTTTGGAAACTTGATGTAAGAAGAGCCACGACACCTTTAGGGTTTAGATCTTGTTGCACTTGATGTAAGAAGAGACACGACACCTTTAGGGATTATATGATGTAGAAGTAGAAGGAGAAGTAGAAATAGATGTAGAGGTAGAAGTAGAGCTGAAAGTAGAAGTGGAAGTAGAAATTAAGGTAAAAGTAGATGTAGAAGTGGACGTAGAAGTAGAAGTGGAAGTAGAAGGAGAAGTAGAAATAGATGGGAAAAATAAGTAGAAGGACAAGTAGGAATAGAGCTGAAAGTAGAAATGGAAGTAGAATGAGAGGTGCAAGTAGAGGTAGAAGTGGAAGATTCTCAGGTGCACAAGCGAGAGGATTCTCAGGTGCACAAGCGAGACGATTCTCAGGTGCACAAGCGAGTACCATGCCCTGTGGAAAAGCACTCATTTGTGCATGCAAACATTCACTAATGGTTAGACGGATGGATGAGCAAGTATGCATAGTATGCAAGTGTCTGCGTTCTACTGTAGGAGCAGTTGATATGCAGAGACGTTACATCATACGTATGGATATCACAGCCGGTCCCCCTGTGTTTGTGTCGGCAAGCGAATATGCTGGTCATTTGGTACAATACATTTGAATGCCTTTACATATGCATTAATGCAATTCCGTATGTTCGTGAGCAAGTAATTCAAACATCAATGGATGGACGGATGGACGGATGGACGGATGGACAGATGGACGGATGGACGGATGGACGGATGGACGGATGGACGGATGGACGGATGGACGGATGGACGGATGGACGGATGGACGGACGGACGGACGGACGGATGGATGGATGGATGGATGCACATTCATCACTGTAGCCTCTGCTGAATGATATTACATGAAGACCAAAATGAGCGCATGAATGGAGAACCTTCTGGAAGGGAATTTCCCCAGAGTTTTTACAAAACCAGTGCAGCCTGGAAACCCTCCATAAAGCATCATACAGCTGCGTCAGCATCGCCCCAGGACAATCAAACCCAAGTGCAAGTGCAATGCTTCTATAACAAAAGTTCCATTCAACTTGAATCGTAACCCATGACAAAATGAGCTAAATCCATTGACAACCTATCACTGTTTGGATTTTGAATGATTGCTAAAAGATGAGAACGGAAAGCCTAGTCAAGAAAATAGAAATATACCGAAGACAAAAGGACAATTGAGCACCAGCACCAATCACTACTGCACTACTTTATGAGTCAAGATTCGTCCCAGCCTAGAACAGATCCGTGGACCGTTTCATGCTGACATACATACTGTAGACTGCATTGCACTACCATTCATGGTATGACTTTGTATTAGGTCTCATCGACTTGTATTGCATTACTTTACATTGCATAGATAGGCAGACACACATTTGGTGTGTGTGTGTGTGTTCTGTCTATATAGTCAATAAATAAAGACATACATACATGCATTACATTGCATTGCATTGCATTGCATTGCATTGCATTGCATTGCATTGCATTACATACATTACATTACATTACATTGCATACACAATGACATACACAATGACATACACAATGACATACACAATGACATACACAATGACATACAATACATTACATACAATATATTACATACAATACATTACATACAGTACATTACATACAGTACATTACATACAATACAATACAATACGTTACGTTACGTTACGTTACGTTACGTTACGTTACATTACATTACATACATACATAATGACATACAATACATCACATACAATACATTACATACAAAATACATTACATTACATTACATTACATGAAATTACATTACATTGCATACAGACAATTACATTACATTACATTACATTGCGTTGCGTTGCGTTGCGTTGCTTTGCGTTGCGTTGCGTTGCGTTGCATTCCATACATAACATAACATAACATGACATACATACATTAATACATACATTACAGACATTACAGACATTACAGACATTACATACATTACATGCATTACAGACATGCATACATTACAGACATTACAGACATACATACATACATACATACATGACATTACAAAACATAACATTACATTACATTACACTACACTACACTACATTACATTACATTGCATACATACATTACATACATACAATTAAATCACATTACATTACATTGCATTGCATTACATTACATACATACATTATATAATTATATACATATATAAAGTCTATGCTGAACTCAAGAGTTGCAAGCTTTCCACACAGTGCACAACCCTTCTCCTAAGTCCATTCGTACACCTTCGTCAAAGCGCGCGAAATAGTTGTACCGCCGCTTCCAGTACCTTAGCTGCGCAGCTACGCTTGCAGACAACAAATTATCTGACCGGCAGGCTAAACCTGCTTTGCAGTTTGGTTGTCGGCATGCTGTGTTCCATATGTTCTCCCGTTCAAGAGTCCTGAGTTGTAAAGGTTAGATTGTTGTGCCATTGTGCCCTCGAAATCTTTGAAGTCTACATTACTTTACTTCCGTTACTTCAACTGCTAAGAAGGCTGCTAAGGCACTTCTCATCAATAGCCTGTGCTCCGCTTGGCTCAGGCACAGGTGAAGCTGTGCCTTTGGGTCGAGGCGTGTAGTGAACCAAGGCAGTCTCCGAGACGAGCAAGGCGCAAAGGCCAACCAACGCTGGTGCCTCTACAGCATCTCACAGCGTCTCACAGCATCTCACAGCTTTTTGCTTGAACTCTTGCATCGCCAAAGCAGGAAAAAGAATTTGTTCCATGGCTTGTACTGACAACTGCGAAGTCGAGATAAGTACAGCTGAGCTGCGGCATCCGGGCAGGATTCATGTGCAGTGGCAGCTCGTTCCCCTTGCAAAAGCCTTTAGTAAGTCTCACGGAGTGCCATGATTTGAACTTTCAATGCCAATTTAAACAAGAAAAAGATCAAGGAGGCACTGCCACAGGGCAATTGATTTGGCATCACTAGATGCAGGCGAGAGGCCATCGCAGCGCTGGTGACGTTCGCTTTGGTTTTGCTAGCGACAACCCAAGTGGTAGCTGCTCCGCTAGCAAGGGCGTCTGCAATGCAGCAGAGCTGGCCTGCAAAGCAAGAATCAAATTTGGACCATTTAAACTCTTTGGACTGTAAATAGATCTATATATATCTACTGGTATGTGTGTGTGTGTATTAAATCTACATATATATATATATATATATCTATCACTGTGCATGTGTGTATATTTATAAATGCATTATGTATATATTATATATATATATATACAGATGTAATATTATGTAATTACATATATAAATATAAATATGTTGAATTTCCTCACCCCTCTTTTGCCTGGTCAAAATGATCGAAGGAGTGGGAGCAGCTTTCTTTCAAACCAGAATGGCACGGAGCTACAATGCTACCACTGTATGGTCTCAAGGTGTGCCAAAGAGCTTTAGTTCTCTTAATTCCACAAAACACACCACGGCCGCCCACGGCCTTTAGATATAGCCTTCCAATGAAGTCACGGACCAAGGCGGCCAATTCAGGATCTTCATGCCCCATGTGCTTGAGGCCTGCCTTGAGGTGACTTGTCTATTTCTAATAGACCTGAAGTTCAACAAATGTTGGGAACGTTTGTTTGAAGTGCTTGCTCTTCCTGGAAAATCTACATCATGGATCATCATGGCGCTTGCAAGATCCAGCATTTCTGATGATATGATAGCTGGTCTTCTTAGCCCTCTTTTCGTGGATTTTCCTCATGGTTTTATTTGATGTGCTTCAGAATACCTCCAGGCCGAAAAGCTCAAAAGGCTTCTCAATCTGCGGGTAGTTTGTCATCTCTCTGAAAAGGCTGCTCAAATAGCCCTAAAAGTTGAGCCATGCATTGCACGGCCACTGCGCCTCTTTGCACCTAGCACAGCTGTATATCCATTGCGGGGTTTGCGATTTGCCTTCAGGCGTGCCCTCGCACAAAGCTCTCACTCTGGAGAGAGCAAACCACCAGCAAGGACAGGATGACTGTGGTTCATGGATCGCTTTGTGTTGAAAGACGTCTAACGCAGCAGCTCTTAAGTAAGTAGTAAGGAGGGTCACCCTGGTCTGCAACTCAGAGTGCTGCGTTGAAGCAACTGTTTTCTCAAATGTCCAAGTATTCTAAGCATTGCTGAACAAATGACTGGAGAAGAGACCGTCTACACCAGAAATTTTCCCTGGTGCGAATATGGCCTCTCGCCCAAGAAGCTTCAAGCACCGCGAGGTTCACCTCTTGGGCTTTCAGGCCCGTGACCGCCGTGACCTTCTGATTCAGACTCGCTAGAAGTAGCGTATGTGGCGGCCTCAGACTCGGGGCTGCACACGTAAGGAGGGCGCTTGCTTCCTTGTGATGCGGGGCAAACCATTAAGCAAACGGTTCTTGTCTGTCAACCGATCCTATTCAACAGTATCTTCATATCCACCACCTATTCTGCAAGTTGCAATGTCTCTTCAGCACCATTGAATTCGAATCCACAATCCGCTCCAACCTCAAGAATTCCAAGGTTTATACATACCCAGAAACTAAGTTCCCCTGCCTTTGCCACACTCTGTGTGGCAACTTCATGCCCATGGAACCTGAAGCTCGTGCTGGCGTCACCACATTCTCAACCAGCTCTCTGGGATACTCACAATTTTCAACAGCTCATGGCAGATGCTACAAAAATACAGAGACTAGGTTCAAAAGCACCGGATGGCAGAGGCAAAACACGACATGGATCATTGGCTGCTCCAACCCCGTTGGGTTTTGATCGTATTTCATCTGAGGTCTCTGGCGTTCGCAACCATTTATGATTGGATGCCTTCGGCTCAGCGGACTGAGTTGGCCTTGGCTTCAGGGTCAGACCAGGGTATGTCTTTGGCCATCTTGTTTGAGCTGTTGTCTTTGCTCACTTGTAATCCGCCGGCCTGCTAGCGTGTCTGATTGAACGGTGTTGGCCTGCCTCTTGTTCGTTGGCTGCGCCTGTTTTGTTGTTCTCTTGCTACGTGTTTTTGCTTCATCTAAATCTAAATTACGTCCACCCCTGCCCTTGTGGTCTAAGGTGAGTAGCTGCTAATAAAATTTTATCTCAGTAAGTACCTGTTACTAAAGATGTCTGCAGCTTCCTCTTGTCCTCTTCTTCTCTTCTTCTTCTCCTCTTCTTCTCTTATTATCCTCTTCTTTTCCTCTTCTTGTCCTCTTCTTTTTCTCTTCTTCTCTTCTTCTCCTCTTCTGCTCTTCTCTTCCTCTTCTTAGTGTCTTCTCTGGCCATGCTTTAATCAATCCGACCAATCATTTTAATACTCCATGGTTCAACGATGTTCGACGTATTTCACCGTGTCGTTGCTGGTTTCAATATTCAAGGCCATGATGGCCTACCTCGACCTGTTTTTACATCAGCTTTTTGTTTAACCCAACGTCTTCCCACGCCGATCAGTTTGTACCAACTAACATTCCAACAAACCAAGTTTTACGCCGAGGAGTGTGTACGCACACCAGCTCTGACACCAAGCGAAATTTTACACCTGCGAGTATCTTCACAAGAAGCTTTTACACCACACCTGCTCTTATAGCTATTTTCATACCAACAAGTTTCTACACCAACAAGTTTCAAGACATCAACCAGCTCTTACGCTAAAATTAGAACCAGATGTATGAAGTAGAACCGACTCAGGAATTTCAATTGCGACCCAGCTTTCAAACCTAGCTGTCTTACCTGCTATGGCGGACTTGCCGCAGGCAATTCAATACCGGCGACAGTACAACGCCTTCGCTCTTTGCCTTGCACATCCTTCCGCCAACTTTCAAAATGGGTGAGCACGTTTTATCGCTCGATGGCATCACTCGTGCAAGCTGCAGGGCCCACTTTGCATCTGGCAAGAGCATGTGAGACTTTTCAAGCAGACCCCACAATGAAAGCCGGTGACTTGCAATGCCTAAACTTGCAGTGAGGTTGCTTCAAAAATTCATCGTAACAAAGTGAACCTTTCCTTCCTCACCTCAAAATTGAAGGAGCTATTGGAATCCACCTTTTCCATGTACAGCCTCTCTATCCAGAATGTTGCTGCTTTGCAGGTGGGAAAAATGTCAGCTCCACACCAGCTGTCGCCAGCCCTCGCCAACCCTGATTCTTTCCAGTCCTCTCCCCTAGGCCCCTAGGCACCCCAACGTGGAAAAGCTTTGGTGCATCTGTTGCAGCCGTCGCCTCGACTCCATGCCTCACTGCGTTCCAAAGCTGGCAAAGAGTCAATCACTGCAATCACATTTTTGCAAAAAGCTCATTCCAAAAAGCCGTCCTTCCAACACACAAAGAGCAACACGTTTTTGTTGAATGCAAACATGGGACAACAATCAGCAATTATGAGCCAGACTCTCCAATAAGTTTGAACAACTAGACTTGACATTGAAATCAATCATTTGACATCGATTGAGGTTCGCATCAATCCTGAAACACTTCAGCTTCTGAACATCTTTGTTTTCCACGTGGGTTCATCGCTCGTCGCCGCAACAACTTCGAGGTCTAAGCGTTCACGTTCTTTGCGAGGGGAAGGGCTTTCGCCTCACAATCCAAAAATAGAAGGTTTCATCCGAGATCAGAAAGTATCGCGAAAACTGCCAGCAAAGCTTCATTGACATGGTTTGGATGACCGATCTCTGCGAAAGGCCTTCCGACTGTTTCGCCTCGGCTGGCAGAAGTGAATCGTGAGAGGGCGGGCTCCGCTCATGGAATTATCATTTCAATCTGTGGGGCACTGCCCAAATATAAACAGAAAGGCTTATTGCCAGCGCCGAAACTACCAATTGTTTGCATATATTACTTGTTTTTTATCAATAATATATTACATGATCTGAAGTAATATTGGCTTTTTGTTGTCCATGCGCAAGTGTTTTCTATTTGAAATACAGTACAGCTTAAATTGGTTGAACCCCCACACAGAAACAAACAAAAACTGTTTTCCAGACTAGTCTGAACATAGCTAGATCCAAGTAGCCCCCAAAACATTATTTTTTGTTTGTTTTTTGGTGCTTTTGGTTTTTTCGATGTTTTGATCCTTAGGATTAATCCAGATTAATCCAGATTATATAATCCAAGCCAAATCTGATTCATCTTGCTTCTAAGGCATCATGTATTTATCAAATGTATCCTTTACAAACCATTACTCAAAAAATTGCTTGTATGATAAACCTACACAGTATTCTTTGGGGATGTGGAATTTTCCATTTAAGGGATGAAGCCTTTGAGGATGTGCAAATTTGTGAGTGAAACATGTCCTTCCATTCACTGGTGTTCCTTTCCAAATATAATGCAATTGGGATTCTTTAAGAGGAGTATCAGATTCTTTTAAAAAATGTGGTGCTACTTTCAAACATGAAGGACAACTGAGACAATGTTCTTTTTTTGGTGAGTGAAGCCTTTCCTTCAAATGAATGGGATGCATTTCCAAAGGAAAGGACAAGGACTTTTCGAAGAAACGGTGCTACTTGCCAAACAGGATAGCTGGGTTTGTTTGAAAGGAGTGTGACATTATTCTCCTTTAAAGAAATGGTGTTACCTTCAAACATAGATAAAACCTGGGCTTTGAAGGGAGTGTTACTTCTTTAGTAGACACATTTCATGGTCTGCACAAATATACACTTCATATTCTGCAACAATACTGGTTCTGTTGCTTACACAAATGACTGCAGCTTTAAGTCAAGTATTCTTCTTTCAAAGGAAAATGTATCGGTTTGAGGAAATACTTCCATCATTAAAAAGGGAGACAGGAATGCTATACTTAAAAAATCAATGCATATTGTATTATAGAGAACTAGTGTCAATTTCAAAAAAGATTTCAACCTTCAAAGCGAGTATTTTTCCTAAAATGCGCTGCGCTAGCTCGTAGCAACCATCAGCTTATAAGCGAAAAAGGATTTGTTTGAAAGAAAGGGATGCTGTATATTTGTGAGCAAAACTGCTCTTCTTTGAAGAATATCATATCTTCAGAGCATTACTTGCTGGAAATGTAGCGCAGGTGCAAGACTTAATAGATGGGATAGATTACATATCCCTCTTTAGACAATTGCTGTGCTGTGCAACTCAAACTACCATTCTTGTTCATTTAACATGACATGTTCTTCCACAATCAACTAGAATCTAATTTCAACTGTGACAGATTGCACCATGGCAGGGCATTGGTGTGATACCACCTAGCTACAAACACGATATTAGCATCAGCATCAGGTTGTGTGTGGTGGACTTTTGCTTGAGTATATACTGATGGCACTGCATCAAGGGCAACCAATCTATTGAACATATCCCCAACCTGTTGAAAACACCAGGGAGCTTCCTTACTTGTCCAACTGAAATAGGCCGTGTAGATGAATTTTAGGTTGTCCATTCAAAGATGACTCATGTCTTTCAAAAGAATATGGTACTGTACCACAATCATATGGAAACATTACAGTAGTATATCCCCAGGCTTCAAAAACAATATATTTCCAATTTTCATGATGTTTGCCACACAAAAGAAGGATAACTAATGTTTGTGAGAACTACATGACCTGAACTTATCCACTGCAATTTTACATTTTATGTCACATACATTGTACATAATGCTTCAAGTGGAGATATATCCTGCTTTCTCCTTTCTTGGAATTTGCCACAGTTTGAACCTAATGACTACCATTGTTTGGAGGAGTGCATTTGCCGCTGAATATGTGTTTTCTATGCGTCAGGCCTCCTCCTTTGAAACGTCATATTGGATTATGACCGGTTCCCAAAGGATACAGGAACATGAGGAAAGTCCAATTTCTGGCGCTGGCAACAAGCCCCTCTCAATATATAATCCCAAGCCTCAAAAAAAGTCCTGCCTATTGCAGTGAAGAGTTGCGTCTCTTTTTCCGGTTTGAAATGGTTTCAACATGTTTCAATATGTTCCAACTCGATATTACTCAATTATATAATCCTTGATTGATCCTTGATTAACCAACCATTGATGAATCCCATTCTTGGGTCTCCACAGGTGTCCGACTTGTGGGGGAGCTCCTCGGCAGCGAAACCGATAGCATACACGCTGGAACAGGATCGGAACAGGATCGGAACAGGATCGGAACATGAGGAACACGAGAAAAGGTGAGGAGAGTGGCTATAACAAACCTTTTAACTTCTTGGAACAAACATCTAAGAGTTTACAGCACAGGTTAAAGGCCTTGTGTTACTCAAATACATACCTTAGGTTTTACAGCCTTCTCGTGGCAACGTGTTGTGAACCTTATGACTCGCCTTATGACTTGTGACTCGTTCACAGCACATGGGCAATCTGAAAGCTCAGGGCCCAAACAAACTCGAGGCGACATCTTCGTGGACCTTTCCAAGAACAGAGGTGATTCAAAAACACTTTACCACTTCACTGCTTAGGTTGGGATCACTGTTCGCACCATGCAGTGACCAAATGCTGGGATGGAGGAAGCTCGTGTCGCCAGAGCTGTCTGTGCTTGTTCAGGACACTAAAACCGCTAAAACTGTGCCAGCACTGCTTGGAAGCATTTGGGGAACAGGAAAAGGAAAAGGATTGCCTCTGGTGCATCTCCTTCGCAGGTACCCTGCCAATCACATTTTTGAGAGCTCATTTCTGAGGAGCTGAAGTTGCTGCAGCTGCTGACAAAGACAAGAAGGCCAAGAAGGCACCAAACAATTTCCTCAGCATTGCAGCTGAGTCTGTTCCATTCTACCGACTCTGCTTCTTCAGCGAATGACCCAGCCAAACACCAACAACTTTAGAACCCGTGCGGCCCAAAGGAACCAAAGGAAACGCACCTTTGGATGTGAACTTGTTGGAGATGTTGTTTCAACATCATCCTCGATCTCCTATGCAGACTCTCAACTTCCAGTCCATACACAGGCCAGCATCTGCACGTGGTCCGCTGAATTTGAAGTGGCTTCAAATTTGAAAACCCTCCATGTCCCGCCAGGTGTTTGAGAAAAATCAGGCACACGAAACGAAAAAGTTGAATCGATGCAGACCAATTTATACTGTATCAGTATCATTCAGCATCTGTATGTGGACAATGTGAAGACCTTTGGCAGCTATGTCATGTGGAGTAGAAAGTGTGCCCATCATCGCCGACAGGAATTACAAACATGCTGCTGCAATGTGGAAGATAAGGTAAGACAATGGATAACATCACCAGTGACCTATCCCACCTTTGTGTTTTTTTCGAGGCCCATGAACTCTCCAAATGTGTACGATCCACAAAGTGGATGGCAAAGACCAGTTGAAAAGTGTCCTGCATCATCATCTTGGTCTGCACTCTCTCCTTTAGAGACATTTCGTCGACTGAAACAAAGAAGCTAGACTGCAGCTAGACCATCAGCAATGGAATTCAAACAGAATGTTCCGGATGTTCGGGACAAAAACTAAGGAAGTATAACCAATTCGTCTAAGTGTTCCGCCTTCAGCTCCACGATTCTGGAACGTTTGGCTAAGATTTCCTCCTTGCGTCGTCAGGCACAGAGGGACGGAAATGTATAGTCTACAAAGATTTGTTTGTCTCACGAAGATTTTTGAGGTCCGTCCCTTTCTTCCCGCAATATCAAGTTTCACCCACAATTGGAAGTACGCAAACAGGACTACTGAAGTTCTGGATAAAAATGGGAAGGCAAGAATTTGCAAGTAGTTGCTTGACAGGCAAGTTCACGCAATTCGATGTAAACATGAGTTTTTGCCAAACAGAGATGGTCCACCATGTGCGTCAACTTGTTGGCATCACTATGGTGATGTTTCTTAGCGCACAGAAGAACCGAGGGGTAGCTCACAAATCCAGCCCCCTGGCCTTTAGTTTGTTTTGACTGTGTAAAGTGTTTTTTTAAATATGGTGGGTACGGCTCAGCTGGCCTCCTCCAAACTGATACTATGCCCTTTAGCTGCGACATGTTTGTTTCCATAGTGGTCGCGGTCGGGGGCATAGTAGTCGTAGTAGTTGGTCGTAGTAGTTGTGGCAGTCGTACCAACCCTAAAAATACAGGGTAATCGTAGAAGCTATACGCACGAGTCGTAGTGATTGTTGTAGTCGTAATAGTAGGTAGTGATAGCAGAAGTACTAGCAGTAGCATTAGTAGCATTAGTAGCATTAGCAACAGTAGTAGCAGCAGCAGCAGCAGTAGTAGTAGTACTACTAGGAGGAGGAGTAGTAGTAGTAGTAGGAGTAGGAGTAGGAGTAGGAGGAGGAGGAGTAGGAGTAGGAGTGGGAGTGGGAGTAGGAGTAGGAGCAGCAGCAATAGCAGCAGGAGTAGCAGTTACAGTTGCAGTTGCAGTTGCAGTAGCAGTAGGAGTAGGAGTAGGAGTAGGAGTAGCAGCAGTACTACTTACTACTGCTGCCACTACAGCTGCTGCTACAACCACCACAACCACCACCAGTACATGTAAGAGTCTATGTTCATTTATCCCTCGGGCAGCGAGTGGTTCTTGAAGCTGTGACACCACCTTGCTTGATTTCTTCATGTCGCATTCTCCAAGCCTCTGAGGAGGGTGTATAACTAGAATCACCGGGATGGCGCAGGCACAAAACAATTACTACAGCAATTAGGTGCAGCAGCTTCTCAGATCTGATGAGATCTACTTCCTTATCATAAAGTAGTGTATCTGTCATAAAGCCTTTGCACATTTACCAAATGCACTTTGGTTCCGGACTAGAAGGGTTTTCAGATGAGCTGCATGCCCATATCCGAATCATGATATAGATTGAT